CTTACTTGGAATGTATTCCTTTGCCTCCTCATTTTGCCTGTTTCCCTGTGTTTGTGACTACGTGTTAGGTAGGTCAGCTATAAAATTGTGTTTTAAGAGAAACTCTCTTTTAAGATTTTATCAACACTCGTGGACAAGCAATAAAATCAAGAATAAACAAGTATATATACACTGGAATGTTATTCAACCGTAAAAAGAAGGAAATCCTGCCATTTATGACAACATGGATGGAACTTGTGGGCATTATGCTAAGTGAGATAAGTCAGACAGAGAAAGACGAATACTGTATGATTTGCCTAATAGGTGGAATCTAAAAGAAAAAACAAATGAGCTCATAGAAAAAGAGATTATATTTGTGCAGAGGCAGAGATTGTGGGGAGGGAAAATTGGATGAAGGGGGTGAAAAGGCACAAACCTCAAGTTCTAAGATAAGTGAGTACTGGAGATGGAATGTACAATGTGACAGCTATAGTTAGCACTGCTGTTTATGTCTCTGAAAGTTATTAAGTGAGTAGAATCTAAGAGTTCTCAGTACAGGGAAAAATGTTCTCTCTTTTTTTGTATCTATACAAGATGATGGATGGTAATTAAACTTACAGTGGTGATCATTTCAATAGATATGTAAGTCAAGTCATTGTCCTGTACACCATAAACTTATACAGGCTGTATGTCAATTATATCTCTATAAAACTGGATGTATAGGTCGGTAGATTGATTAATTTATTGATTGATTAATGAGTGAGTCAGTAAATACATACATGCATACACACATACATATGAAATGTAGCACTACCACTTCCTGAATGGGTTGATGATCTTTAGCAGGCTACTTTCCCTCTTGTTCAAGTATATATATATATATATATATATATATATATATATATCACTGTCTTCAAACAGGAGCTCTGATGAGGACCATTCTTGTGAGTTCTGAACAGTCTCCACAGTTTGAAGTGGAGAGCAACACCCAGTATTGAAGGGTGCTCTGAAGAGACAGAGATGACTCAAATGGTTCACCCCAAGGTGACAGAGAGAGAGGTCCTGCTTCTCACAGAAACCAGCATGTCAGTCAGGGAGCTGTTTGTGAGAAGTGAAACTCACATTCCAGGGCCAAGAGGATGAGCTGTTCTTTCCTGGGGGAGCAGAAGCGTATTGCACCAAACTCCCCAGGCCCCTCCATCCCCACCACCCCTGGGTTCACCATGTCTCTGAGGGCACCATTGACGTCTCCAGTCAACCAAGGCAGGGAGGGAAGGTCGCCCTCACTTCCTCGTCTCTTACATCTCTCAGCCAAGCACCCAATAAAAACCATTCAGCCTCCAGAATCCCCCTGACCCCTGTTGTCCTCCCCATCCACAGAGTCCAGCCCACAGCCCACACCTGGACACAGCTGGCCTGTGTGATCACATCCACCACTTTCCTGGTTTCTGAGCTGCAGGCCCACACTCCCTTCTCCAGTTCGCCCTCCACATGTCAGTCTTTCTAACATCCGTTTCAGAATCTGTCCCTTCCCTGCCCCAAATTCTTCCATGGACCTCACTGTCTTCAGGGTAAACTCCAAACTCTTCTCTTTAAAATAAATGCTGTGCATGATCAGTCCAGATGTGACTCTCCACTCTCAGCTCTCAGTTCTCCTTCCCCACAAACCAGACAGTGCAGCCATACCAGAAATACACACACACACAGCAAAACAATGGGCCATTTAACACTTCTGTGCATTCCCATATCAGCTCTCCTGCAGAGCTTGGACCCAACAAATTCCTTCCCAACTCCCAGTACAAAATAGACACAGAATGTAAATCATGTATCATTTCTATCCTCTGTTAATGTGTTTTCGTCTCATTTAAGGGTGTATGAGTTTCATATGATAAATCCACATAAATCATTTATAATACTGGTTGACACACCAGTATGGGAGTAATTAGACTTCAACTATTGTTGTTTATTTATTTTTATAAATTTTCTATATAGCAGCAAATATGACTCTCATATAAATTTTTATCATAACAGTCTTTGCTGATATATTCTATTTATCTTAAAAATAAAATCCAATGTCCTCACATGGTGGACAGCATCCTGCATGACCAGCCGCCACCTTCCCCTCTCTCCCTCCCTTTACGACATTCTCTAGAATGTCCTTTCATCTCTAGAGGGTTCTCGTAGGTATCCCATCCCATAGGTCTCCCCCTCCTCAAACAGCTATTCTCTCTTTCATAGACTAGTCATGGTCTCCAGTTATTCTCATATTTCTCCTTTGTAAATAAATTAAGGGCAATACTAGCCTTTGAATGTCTATAATCTGTTAATCTGGGTTCTCAAAATACATGAATGGGTTTATCTGGATCATGGATGTATTTCTGGTGTTTGACACCAATGCCTTGTATGTAGAATGTGCTCAATAATATTTGTTTATGGACTGGCCAAAGACAGAAAGTAAACTCCACTTGTCGAGGTGCTGAGGAAATCAGTGGTGTGTCCCATAAGAGCCAGTCTGTCAGAGACCCACTCAGGACGAGAACCTAGGTCCCCATCCTCTCTGAGTGGGATTCAGGTCAGGCAGAGTTTTGGGAACGTGATGGGACCTCAGCTCTGGGCTGAGACGTCTCCAGAGGGGCTGGAGTCCTCCTGAGCCCTGCCCTGGAGAAAAGCAGAGCCAGGCCCAGGGAGGGGCCATCCATTCCTGTGGGTCCACAGCTGTGGGAACCCGAATGGGTGGCAGCAGCCCCTGACTTACCACATCCTGTGCATGTGTCTGTCCCGCAGGCCCCGTGGTCTCCTCCATCTGCACAGTGGGAGTGCTCAGAGCAGGCACCATGACTTCCATCCTCTCTGCTCTTCTCTGCCTCGGTCAGTTGTGGAAAGTGGGAAGGGGGACAGCAGCAGGGGATGGGGAGGCTCCACACCCCTTGTTCATGGGGAACCTCAGGGCTCTGGCAGCTTGAGTGGACTGGGATCCTGATGGGAAGAGAATCGGCTCAGACATGCGGGTGCAGATCTCTCACAGGGACTCTCTTCTAGGGCTGAGTCTGGTTCTGAGGACCCGAGTGCAGGCAGGTGAGTCCTCCCCAGGCTGCCATATTCCCACCTCTTACTTCAGCCCCTGAGCACTCAGGAATGAGCCCAGTGACTCTGGGATGATGGGGATAAAACCAAGAGGGGCCGGAGGCTGAGCTGGGAGAATGAGGGGTGGGGAAAGACTTTGGACTCCGGCTCTGTGTTCCTTCCAGGGACCCTCCCCAAACCCACCATCTGGGCTGAGCCAGGCTCTGTGATCCCCTGGAGGAGGCCTGTGACTGTCTGGTGTCAGGGGACCCTGGAGGCCCAGGAGTACCATCTGGATAAAGAGGGAAGCCCAAAGCCATGGAGCAGACAGAGCCCACTGAAGCCAGAGGACAAAGCCAAGTTCTCGATCCCACACATGGCAGAGCAATATGCAGGGAGATATCACTGTTACTATCTTAGCCACATTGGCTGGTCAGAGCACAGTGACCCCCTGGAGCTGGTGGTGACAGGTAAGAGGACACTCAGGGGTCCAAGCCTCAGGCTCTGCCCTCAGGAAGGTGGTCTTCTCTCAGGGGTGTGTCTCCCTCTCACAGTCCAGCCCTGGGGGATATGTGGGAGGTGTGAGCCCCATTTAACAAGCTGCCTCCTCCTCTCCTAGGAGTCTACAGCAAACCCTCCCTCTCAGCCCTGCCGAGCCCTGTGGTGACCTCAGGAAGGACCGTGACCCTCCAGTGTGGCTCATGGCTGGGATTTGACAGATTCATTCTGACTAAGGAAGGAGAACATAAGACCTCCTGGACCCTGAACTCACAGCAACACCCCAACGGGCAGTCCCAGGCCCTGTTCCCTGTGAGCCACGTGATGCCCCACCACAGGTGGATGTTCAGATGCTATGGCTTTTACAGGTACAGGCCGCAGGCGTGGTCAGACCCCAGTGACCCCATGGAGCTCCTGGTTCCAGGTACGATAGTCCCATCCTGGCCCCATCCATGTTTACAGGCATCAGACAGCTTATTGGGGTCTTTGCTCCCAGGGAAGCCCCTTGTGACAGAGTGAGGTGAGGGAAGCATGGGGCTCCTGGGCCAGAGACACAGAGGGTGAGAGACCGTGAGACCTGGGGCCCAGGATGCAGGAGGGGATTTATGGGAGAAATCAACCCCTACAATCCACAGGTGTTCTTTCTCCCAGGTGTGTCTGGGAAGCCCTCCCTCCTGACCCAGCAGGGCCCTGTCGTGGCCTCTGGACAGAACCTGACCCTCCAGTGTCTCTCTGATGTCGGCTATGACAGATTTGCTCTGTCCAAGGAGAGAGGATGTGACCTCCCCCAGGGCCTTGCTCGGCAGCCCCAGGCTGGGCTCTCTCAGGCTGACTTCTCCCTGGGCCCTGTGAGACCTTCCCACGGGGGCCAGTACAGATGCTATGGTGGGCACAACCTCTCCTCCAAGTGGTCGGCTGCCAGTGACCCCCTGGACATCCTGGTGGCAGGTGAGGGGTCAATAGGTCACTCAGGGTCTCAGACTCTACACAGGTCCTGATGGGGGAGCCCCGGGTGATGATGCTGGGATGATTAGTTAGGGGTCCCCAGGGAGGGAGACAGAGAAACGGGATGGGCAGGCAAAGGGAGAGACTCAGAGCAAACAAGACAGACAGAGATGAGCGTCCTGGAAGAGAGGCCTAGGGACTCAGTTCAGAACAAGTGGGATGGGCAGCCCCTCACCCAACCTTCCTCTCTCTAGGACAGCTCCCTGACACACCATCCCTCTCAGTGCAGCCGGGCCCCACAGTGGCCTCAGGAGAGAATGTGACCCTGCTGTGTCAGTCACGGAGCCCGAGGGACACTTTCCTTCTGTCCAAAGAGGGGACAGCTGATCCCCCCCTGCGTCTTAGATCAGAGTACCAGGCTCAGCAGTACAAGGCCCAATTCTCCATGAGTCCTGTGACCTTAGCCCACGGGGGGACCTACAGGTGCTACAGCTCACACAGCACCTCCCCCTACCTGTTATCACAACCCAGTGACCCCCTGGAGCTCATGGTCTCAGGTGAGGGGCCGTGACTCTGTCCTTTCTGAGTCAGTCAGCTCAGGGCTCTGTCCCCCAGAGAGCTCTGGGCTGGGATGGGAGTGAGGGGGCTCTGAGGGAGGGTCACCCAGAGAGGCATCTGCCCCTCAGAGTGCAGGAGGGAAACAGCGCCCTCCCATGGCTGCCTCTTCCCATGTCCCCATCTCCAGAATCCTCCAGGTGGGTGGAGGGAGAGCCTTGGGGACACAGGGCAGATGAAGGAGAAGAGAGTGAACAGAGACAGGGTCTCTTGGGGAAACTCCAGCCCCTCATCTCCTCTTGTCCTTTCTCCCAGGATCCTCTGGGGATCCCACCTCCCCACCCACAGGACTCAACTTAACAACTAGTGAGTCACAGGGTCTCTGTCCAGAGAGGTCACAGTTTCCCCAGGCCTGTCTCTCGAGACTCAGCTGAGCTGACTCCCAGTTCCTCTCTCAGCACAGCTTGTCCCCCAGGGGGGCTGGGAGTCGGGCAGAGATGGGGGTCCATGGGGCTCCAGGGCTCTGAGGCTGGGGGGGTAGTGGTTGGGGCAATCATGACAGAGGGACATGTTGGGGCCCAGGCTGGGAGAGGGGCACTAGGGCTGAAGTGGGGAGAAGCAGCCCCCCCACCTCCATCCTGACCCCCAGGTGGTTCTGAAGGTCAACTCCCTCCTATGGGAGGGAGTCAGGTGTGAGGAGGGATAAAGGAGGGCTTCTGTGGAGAGGTGGTGGGTGGTTTCTTGGGAGTCGGGGGCTGAGTTATGCCATCAGGAGACCCTGACTTGGACATGCCTTTCCCTGTCTGGGCCTCAGTTTCTCCAAGTGTAAAGGAGAGAATCGTGGCCCAGGGCTTACATTTCCTTTCAGTTCTGACTATGGCTCTGACCTCCTGGGAGAGGAGGCCTCACAAGGAAGCCCTCAGGACTTGATTTTATGGAGACCTGTCCCCTCTGCAGCAGTGATGGTGACATTATATGGGGAGGGAGGGTCAGGACAAGGTTCCAGGGTGTTCAGGATGCTCAGCTTGAGTGGAAAGAGCAAGGAAGGCAGTCAGCTCCCTGGATTCAGTTCCTAGCTCTGCCACTTCAGGCTGGGTGACCTGGGGCACATGGTTTACCTCTCTGTGCCTCAGTTTCCTCATCTGTGAAATGGATGTGTGGGGGAGACAGTCCCCTGTTGCAGGATTCTTGTGAGTGAGACGAGGCAATGCACAGAACTCAGCACATGCTTGGCACACAGTAGGCCCTCAATTAAACAGCATCAGTGGCTCATTCATGATGTCACTCATGCCCAGGTTTCAAATGGTACCTGAAGCCTCTGATCGGGATCTCGACAGCCTTTGTCCTGATGCTCTCCCTCCTCCTCTTCCTTCTCATCTGTCATCGGCATCACGGCAAATGCAGGACATTGGGTGAGCAGGGAACAGGGTGACCCAGGTCACAGGAGGCGACGGCCTTAGGGCACTAGCTAGAAGGAAACCCAATAGATGGGAAAGTCAACTAGAAAAACACGTTCCAGAATCTCCAATTAGGAAATCCTAAAGAAAACGCTTGACAGAGCGCACACATAGACATTTAAGGTATTCTTTCAGCTTTTCGATCTCGTGAATTATTGAAACATACAAAGTATATGTTAAGGTTTCCTTCTTTCCTCCCAAATCCCATGTGGAGGGTGAGTGGTCATAACACCCCAGGGCTGAGACTCTGTCCATCTTAGAAGGACTGAAATCTCACCCTGAGTGACCTCGGGCACATCTCTTCACCCCTGGATCTCAGTGGCCCATCTGGGAGCAGAGGGGGGCCGCAGCCCTGAGAGATCTCAGGGAATCCCGCCAAGAGACACACCCCCTGTTCTGCCCCAGCAGGTGCTACCATGAAGGACACACAGCCTGAGGAGGGCGTGGAGCTGGACCATCAGGTGAGACCCCTACTCCTGTCCAGGCCACCCAGGACATTCCTGTTGCCAAACTTAATCCAATGGACACTTCCTGTCCTCATATCACCCAACTCTCAGCAGCGTCCCACACTGACCTCTCCTCTCAGGCACCCTGGGTCGTCCTGCTGTGACTTCACTCCTCCTAGTTTCTGTGACCTCATGGCTCCTCCCTCATGATCCCCTTTCCTGGTTCCTCCTCTGTCTGAACTTCTGGTTGTTGGAGTGCACCCCCAGGTCTCAAAAGGACACGTGAATGAGTGATTCACCCGCACGTCCCCTAGGCTCCCTTCATTCACTCACCCTACAGTGTGCACAGGGAGCTCCCTGTGTACCCGGCTCCATTCAGGTGCTGCAGGTACAGCAGTGAGAAAACTGTCTCCACACTCCTTAAGCTCACCTCGTGGGTGAGAGACAACATGTAAATATGCAGGTACCATCCTAGAATGCAAAGTGCTGTTAAGGAAAATAAAGTAAGGAAAGGGGATAGAGTATGTGGGGTGTGGTGGAAACAGCAGGTACAAAGGTCCTGAGGCAGCAACATGGTTTTTCAGGAAGATGGGCCACGTGGCTGGAGACAAATGAGTGAGAGAGAGCATGTTAGGATAAGAATCAGAACCACACAAAGTATCCAGATGTCCAAGGTTCAGGAAGTCCCTGAGGATTCCATCAGGAAGTGACCTCACTCTGTAACAGTGTGGACAGTTGACTGGAGGAGGTCAGCAGTGGGGTCAGGGAGACACTGTTTTTGCCCTCTGTCTCCCTCCAGCAGGGCCCCCAGGATGAAGACCCCCAGGGAGTGACATATGCCCAGGTGAACCACTCAAGATCAAGATGCAGGTGGGGAGTGGCAACCTCTCCTTCCCCCATGTCAGTGGAATCACTGGACGTGAAGGACACACAAGTAGAAGAGGACAGACAGATGGGCAGACAGGTGGGTCCCATCCTCTCCTAGACCCCTGGCTTCTCCCACCCCAACCATATACCTATCCCCCCTTCTTCCCCTGCTCCAGGCTGCTGCATCTGAAGCCCCCCAGGATGTGACCTATGCCCAGCTGTGCCACTTGACCCTCAGAAGGGATAGAACACCCTCTTCCACCCAGTCAGAGGACCCCCGAGCAGAGCCCACTGTGTATGCAGCTCTGGCCATGCGCTAGTCCAGAAATGACCCAGACCCACTCTCCAGGGTGAGAGATTGCAGGGACCCCAGAAGGTACAGGAGCTTCCTCCAGTGGACACCTCCTAATGACTCCCAGCCAGTCTAAACTCCTAACATGGACCACCAGGAGCTTCTGGGACACTTTGGGACTCACCAGATTCTGCAGTCAAAGATAACTGATATCCACACATTTTGTAAATAAAAGCAACGGACTTCTCAGTAATCCATGAGTGAAATGAGAAATCCATACCAGAAGTGAGAGAATGTTTTAAATTGAACGATGATGTAAATATTACACATCAAACCTACCAAATAGGAAAATTAAGAACAGTAAATGAATGAATATCTTAGAAAAGAAAAGCCTAAAAAAATCAATGACCTAAGCTATCATACCAAGAATTTAGAAAAAGAATAGCAAATTATTCCAAATGAAGGTAGGAGGGAAAAAGTAACCACGAGAGTAGCTACTAATGAGGATGAATAAAAAATAAAGAAAATTCAATAAAGACAAAAAAAATTCATTCTTGAAAACATTAATCACACATAGATCCCACCCACAACACTCAAGGAAAAAAGAGGGAAGGCACACATTACATTATCAGCACAGCAGCACAGATCCTACAGACTTTAAGTAGATAAGAGATCATTTTGAACAGTTTTATGCCAATATATTAGAAAATGTAGATGAAATGGACAAAATCCTCAAGAAATGCAATTTACCAAAATGATAGACATAAAACTAAGCAGAAAATCTGAATTGTTTTGTATATTAAATGTTGAATCTGTAATTAAAAATTTTCCCACAAAGTGAACTCTGAGTCTGGAAAGCTTCACTGGTGAACGCTTCCCAACATGTATGCACTTATGAAATACACATGTACACACACCTGGACACACATACACACACACAGACGCACACACACACACGGACGCACACACAAACATACACATACCAAATTTAAATAAGCTTCCTCCACAAATAGAGAAGGAGGGAATATTCCTCCCAACACGTTTTATCAGGCCACAAAAAAACTGATACCAAAACCTCACAAGAACCTACCAAGTGGGAAAATCAGAGGAAGCTCTCTCACATTTACTTAGCTGTAGATTCCTACACAAAATATTCCCAAAAAAGAGTCAGTAGGGGCCGGTCCCATGGCTTGGCGGTTGGGTACCCGCACTCCGCTACTGGTGGCCCAGGCTCGGATCACGGGCGTGCACCGAGGCACCGCTTCTCCAGCCATGCTGAGGCCGTGTCCAACATACAGCAACTACAAGGATGTGCAACTATGACATACAACTATCTGCTGGGGCTTTGGGGAGAAAAAAAGAAAAAAAGAGGGGGATTGGTGGTGGATGTTGGCTCGGAGCCAATCTTCCTCAGCAAGAAGAGGAGGATTGGCACGGATGTTGGCTCACGGCTGATCTTCCTCCCAAAAAAAAAAAAAAGAGTCAGCAGTATATAAAATGGATAATATATCATGACCATGCTGGTATGTTATTTTTCAGAAATGCATGGTTGGTTTCATATTCAAAAATCAATCAGTACAATTCAAATATAAAAGAAGAAATAGAGGGTCCGGCCCAGTGGCGCAAGTGGTTAAGTGCGCGCACTCTGCTGCAGCAGCCCAGGGTTCATGGGTTCGGATCCCGGGCGCACAATGACGCACCTCTTGTCAAGCCATGCTGTGGCGGTGTCCCACATAAAGTAAAGGAAGATGAGCATGGATGTTAGCCCAGGGCCAATCTTCCTCAGCAAAAAAGAGGAGGATCAGCATCGGATGTTAGCTCAAAGCTGATTTCCCTCACACACACAAAAAAAATCAAAAACAAAAAAAGAAGAAATATAAAAATGATCATATTACCAGAGGGGAAGTGGGGAGGGGGGAGGGCAAAAGGGATAATTTGGCACATGTGTGTGGTGATGGGTTGTAATTAGTATTTGGGTGGTGAACATGATGTAATCTATGCAGAAATAGAAGTATAATGATGTACACCTGAAATTTATACAATGTTATATACCAATGTTACTGCAATAAATAAAAAATTAAAAAAAAACAGATTCAAGACTTCTGATAAAATATATCACCAATTTATAATGAGAAAAACTCTCAGAAATAAAATGGAATTTCCTATCATTTATCAAAGTGTCTTTAAAATTCTACATCAGCAATACTTTTTAAAGGTAAAAACTTGCAATATTTCCACCTGTGACTGAGAATGACACAAGAATGTTCACTATGACCTCTTCTATTCAGCAGGGCACTGGAAGAATGATCAAATAATAAAGCAAAAAAAAGTATGATAAGCACTGAATGGATGCAATAAAATGGTATTACTCACAGATTACAAAATTGTGTCCATGGCAACCGCAAATAATTGAAACATCTATTATTCTAATTTGAGAAGGATTGATCCACTGTCACTGGATACATCATCAATATATAAAATCAATTACATTTCAGAATTCCAGTTTTGGACCAAGAGGAAGTAGAGGTTTGTTTCCCTAACCACCCATAAGGCACAGAAAACTCCTGGACCTTGTGTATACAACAAACATCGAGAATACTTCAGAAAGTGCAGAGAAGGCAGCAGACGGGCTAAGACTGTTAGGATCTAGGAGCGACACAGTGGGTGTCAAAGGAACCACGTGGGGACCTGGACTGTACCCTCCACCTGGCAGTAATGAGTCAGGACCCTGGCCATGTGTCAGAAAAGGCCTTCTGTAACAGAAGATTTAAGTAAGGTCCAGACACTCACAACATCAAATCCATAATGTCCAGTTCATAACAAAAAGCAGGGAAATCTCACCTTGAGTGATGAAAGCCATTGTCAACAGGTGATGACACTGAGGTGACACAGAGGTTGGAATTATCTGATAAGGTCTGTGGAGCAGCCATAATAAAAATGCTTTGATGGGCAATTACATGCAAGCTTAAAATAAATTTAAAAAAAAGAAAGTCTAACCGAAGAAACAGAAGATACAAAGAAGAAACTAAAGGAAACTTTAGACTTGAAAAATACGACATTCAAAATAAAGGCTCCACGGATGGGCTCGACAGCAGAATGGAGAGGACAGAGGAAATAACGAACATAAAGACAGAACAGCAGAAATTACTCAGTCTGAACAACAGGGAGCAAATGAACTGGAAAAGAACACGAACAGAGCCTCAGGACCTGTGGGATTCTAACAAGAGATCTCACATCCATGTGATCTGAGTCCTAGAAGCAGAGGAGAAAGAAGATGAGACTGAAAACTATTCAAGAATCATGGCTGGAATTTCCCCAAACTTGGCAAAAGTCATAAAGCTACATATTCATGAAACTCAGTGAACCCCAAACAGGAGAAGCCCACAGAAATCCATGCCAAGACGCATCATGACCCAAGGAAGGGAAACAAAAGACAAGCTCCTTGAATGCAGTGAGACAGAAATGCCACCTGACCATAGAGGGAAACCACTCAGATGACAACGGGCTTCCCGTCAGAAACCGTGAAGGCAGGAAGCAAGAGGAACGACATTTCAGGTGCAGAAAGAAAAGAACTGTCGATCCCAAATTCTACAGAGGGTGAAATTATCCTTCAGGAAGGAAAGGGAAATAAAAACACTCTCAGGTGAAGGAAGCTAAGAGGATTGTCACAAGCAGGCCTCCCCTAAATGAATGGAAAAGGAAGTTCCTGACCCAGAAAGGACCTGACCAAGGGAGGAATCTTGGCACATGAGGAAGGAAGACAGAAGAATGGGAAGCAAACACGTGGACACTGGGACAGTGCAGAGGACAGAGAGTCAGAACTGCCCAGTTACTTTTCCTCCATGAGCACTCGCCTCACGTTATTTTCAAATTTTGAGGCAGCAAAAACAAGCACACACGCCTTATCATGCAATGATGTTTGTATCCTTTCTTAACCTACTAATATTTTTGGAAACAAGGATAAGTAAAGGTTCTATTGAATTCCCGGAGCTCACACAGTGGTGGGAGATGTTTGGATCCCGTGCAGCACTAGGAACCAATCAAGCACCCCAGAGGAGCCAGGCCTAGTTAGCCAAAGGAGCTGCAGCACACGCCTAAAGACAGACTGTTGTTAAAGCCTTGAAAGCAAAAGGTGAACCAAGTCCTTGAATCGACTTCCAAAACATAGTTACATACTCTTTACAGAAAGGAAACGGAATCTGTGTACTCAACAGTGTAACTTCCATAGTGCCTGGCAGAGTCATCACAAACAACCCTGCACTCAGGTGGACTAGCAGGGGTTAGTGCCACCCTCAGAGACTTAAAGGAGGCAGAGGTGGGGCCACCATATCCCTGCTTAACACACCAGCCTGGCCCCTGAAAAACTGGGTGGATCCTGGGTGGTGGATGGTGAAGGGCCGCAGACCTCCCCAAGTACTGACTCCTGGCAGCTGCTCTGCGGGATGGATGCATTTCCTAGGACAGAATTATGCAGCCTCTGGTCACTTTTGTGCAGCTGTGGATCTGG